AATGCGATACTCTTTTGTGAGCACTGAAGACGGTCAAACCTCTCCACAATACAGCCACTGTGGCTTCCACCAGGGTGGCGTACTCAGCCTTGTGCTGTTCATTCTTGGGCTAATTGCTCTCACTGAGCATCTGCCAACCACAGTTAGGCTATCGACGCACGCAGAGTATATCTGCGCCTGGGAGTCAGCTGTAACACGCCTGCAGTTGCGAGCGAGAATTCAATAAGCTGCCACTGAAACAATACGTTACCTCCAAAATCAGGCTTGGAAATTTCTTCCAAGAAACGCGCCCTCGTAGCTTTCCCTCGCAAGCCTATGAATAAATACATAATAAGCATCAATGGTCAACCTGTACCATACGTTCGATGGCACAACTTTTTGGGCGTCATAATTGAGAGGAATCTATCATGGAGCGAACACGTTTTGTACATCTGTAATCTGCTGACGTTCTTTGAAGAGACGACTTGGGGAATGTCACTCAGTGCAATGCTACAGCTGTCCAGGCTACTTTTTCTTGGTTTCAGGCGGTACATCTTACCGGCATTGACCAATGCAAGCAAAATAAGTCTACGAACGTCACAGAGTTTTCAGTCTCAGACACTCCAGATTTTCCTCGGCTTGGCTCGTAGTGTGTTGACAATGGCTTCTATAGCAATCGCCTGTGACCACCTCATCGCGACACATATTGACGCTGAGACACTCAGGACACATATAAGGCATATTGCTCGGACATCCTGCCACCACCTAGCCTCTTTACCAGCAGACAGACCAAGTTTGTTCTTTTGTCAAACGGTCACCACATATCGCGACTCTTTGCCAACATGCTTCACACCCGCCGCCAGGCCTTCGACTCCTCCTTGGTGCCTAACTCAGGCTAACATCAGGCTAACTATACCTGGCATTCAGAAAAAAAAAAGCTGATATTTCGTCACCTGCTCTTAGGCAGCTTGCTCTGCTTCTGTTATTCGAGACGTACCAAGGCTCTATACACGTATACACCAACGGCTCTGTTTTACAGAAGAGTTTAATGCATCATTTGTTATACTAATAAAAGGCACAGCACGCAAATTCAAAACCTCTCTTTTACGACATCAACAGAAGCGGAACTCACAGCTCTTTGTGCCGCATCACAATTCATCAGGGATCAACAGCCACAAAAATAGAAAATTTTCAGTGAGGCAAAGGCGGCACTGCAATCCCTTCTATCACCTTTACGCCGCGGCCCGTACGAACACCTGGTATTAGGATTGCAGAAAAGACTCACTATTTCATTGAGGAAGGACATGAAATAGCCTTGCAATGGCTTCCAAGTCATTGTGGAATAACTGGCAATGAACGGGCTGATTGAGCTGCCCGTTCTGCCCATACTGAAAGTGATCAAATATCGATTCCGCTGTCCAGAACTGACGCTGCACGGAAACTCCACATGCTTGCTCGCAAGCGTACCACGTCGCAATGGAACGGGTCACATTTCACCCATGTACGAATATGTACCTTAGACCCAACTCACAGTCGTAGAATTCCTCCAGAACTTCGCCGACGAGACGCTACTATGATGTGCAGATTATGGTTGGGTGTTGGATTTACCAATGCGTACGCGTTGCACATAGGAATGGCCGACCCTGCTTCATGCGATCATTGCGGCAGTGACGAAACAACTTGGCACACTCTGGGGGAATGCAAACAATACTGCTCGCAGAGACAGTCACTCTGCAATGCACTAGACTAACTGGACAACCAGACTCTTTCGGAAGGAAGACTCCTGCGCTACCGACAGGACAATATGTCACAGAAGAAGGCTGTGAAGGCGCTTCGGCGCTTCTTGCGTTTAACCGGCCTCTTCAAACGTCTGTGATCGGAACGCCCTGCATGTGTGTGCGTGTGAATTGTTAAAGAAGATATTCTTTCTTGGGGACCTTCGACGCAAAAATTTGGCCTGTATGTATGCATGTCTGTCTGTACATTTGTCTGTTTGGCCACTCTCAACGGCATCGGCTACTTCAAATGGTCGACCCCAGCCGCAGCCCCCACCTTTGTTGCTCAAGATTGAACGTTCATACTTGTGCAATTGCCAATTAAAAAGCAAATACTGCGCATGTCTGGGACAACACACCAACACGTATATATTCTGCATGTGTGTCTATTACAAGAAAATGCATACATAAGTAATTTTAAGGACCGTAGCGCTTATCACGCTGCGCTGACCATGCAACGCTTGCACGAAATGGCGAGTGTTTCCAACGCTTTGCTAAGACGAGACGGTGGTGACACCTACCCGTCGCCTTGCGTTCTACACCTTATCACCTCTGAGACGGGCGCGCACAGCCGTCTCAGAGCCACACGCTTCGTTTTCTAAGAAAACTGCCAGATGGCGCTCATGTCTCACGCGTGACGTGACTTGATGCGTTCGTTCGCCTCCGCTGCACGATCCAGGCACTCTAACACAGCGCCTCCAGGGTACCATTCAGCGATTTTCTTGCGCAGGACATCAAATACATGTTTTGTTCACTCTCTCCACACGTAAGACTATCGTCTTTCGACGACATTTGCAGATTAACATGCAGATACGCGGCCATTTTTTATCATTTATTTTATACCTCTCTATCTCTATCCTCTTTCCGACCCTTATTCCGCCACCTCTGTACAGGGTAGCAAACCAGTTCTTCTAGGTTAACCTCCCACTCTTCCTTTTATTTATTTCTCTCTCTCTTGAGGTCTTCGTGTGAAGTGACAATAAAGAGCTCCGGTTCAGGACTTAAGTTTATCTACCTTGTCACAATGAGCCAAAATTGAACCAACAATCATCCCGTAAATCGATGTGGTACTTTGAGGTGTACCGTTAAGAAACTTCAATCGTATGAAACAAAATGTAATGACACGCTGTGGTCAGACATTATATGTCAATGTAACTACGTAGTCTAGAATTGTTTCCACCATATTGGTATATAAGTGAAACTAAAATGTTCCTCTTTAAACAGTCAACTGTGTATTCATAACGTAAGCAAATTAGCTTGTACACTCTTAGAAAAAAGGTGGTAGTACTTGCTAACTTTGGGGTAGTAACGGTTTGTCACATATGTTACAACCCTGGTAGTAAGCGCAGTCAGTAACGGCAAGGGCGGTAACAGTTACTACCTTTACTATTACTGCCAGCATTTAGTAACTGTTACTACCGTAGCCATTACCACCCATGGGTAGTAACTTTAAAGGTTGCAAAAAAAAGTAGTAACCGATACTACCTTGTTTATTCATTCTGACGAATTATTCCTCCACTGCTAATGTTAATCAATAAATGTATCAATACTTGACAACTTCGTAAAATGAAGCGTGGTGTGCCATGAACACGAAGAATAGATACCCCTAACATGCTCTTTTTTTACGCTTACATGTACTCTAAAGTAAGCGTGGGGTATATATAACCCCTACTTTGCAGGGGCATGTCTGGCACAGGGGAGCATTTGCGTTTCAGGATGAACTACAAGAAATTTGAACTTATAGCACTATAATATACAACCTGATTACATGTGTTTGGTGACGTAGCACAACACGTTTATTCAGCCTTACTTATAAAAGTTAATATGTCATATTTATTGATTATAAAACGGCCACAAAAATACATTATGTACAGAGGCGGAAACAAGGTACCGAACTTATTCTCAATGCATTTGAATGCTTCGCACGGCTAATATATCAGCGTTTAAAAGGTCATAATTGTTTTCGGGGTTTGGCGGTGCAAAACAGTGATAATATTTGTGGACGCTGCAGTGGAATAATTGTGACCGTCATCGCGGCTAATTGTGACCATCTGGGTATTTTGATACGCCGAGCTTCTTAATCTTTGCTGCACTTTACTGAGTTTATTGCAATTGTCTATTACAACGCATGTAGCGCTTGCTTACGGTTCGTTAACTTGTACTTCTCCATTTCGACGATATCATAACGTCGTTTACATATCTCGGTTGCGTAATTTAAAACAAAATGTATTCTTTTGATCTATAGATATCTTCTGCGTCATTTTTCTGTTAAATGATATACGTCTAGATGATTCTTCTCATAAATTATCAGAATAGGAATCACACACTATTTTGGATTAGATAGTCAACAACCGGGTTGCAAAATGGTAGTAACAGCTAGGGCAATAAATGTAGTAACGGGTGCAGTTACTACCTATTTCATTCCAGTTACTATCTTTTTACTAACGTAGGTAGTAAACATGTCGCAAAATGTTAGTAACGGTAGCAGCTAGTAACTGTTTACTAACGTAGATAGTAAACAGGTAGCAAAAGGGCAGTAACAGTCTAAGAAAGGTAGTAACCGCTACAGTTACTACCTATTTGCTTGCAGTTGCTACCTTTTTACAAACTTTTTTAAGAGTGCAGGTTACACAGGGAGTTAAAGCGTAAAAATATTCTAAAACTTCTGTACTAATAGTTGCCGCTTGTAAATACCTTCTATACCCATCTGCTTGGCGTGCAACTTACGTTAAGCTAAAGTAGACAAAGGTTGTGAATATGAAATAGTTTATTACTCTTTGTTCTATCTAATCATACAAGTTACTACGAGATCGAAGTTCTGTACATGTTGAATGACATCACTTAACATGCAGACAAACGTTGTGTATGAACGGTGCTTGTTGAATACAGGTTAGCTAATGGATAACTTGAGATATTGACGGTTCGTGTAATTTTATGTCATGGCGATTGCACTGATAACGCTGTTAACAATGGCCGTTGTTGCACGGAGCTGCTCTCATTTCATGAAGCCCAAGGACTCTGATGACATAGTACTATCGTTATGTTATGTGGGTCCAGTATATACCTTAGAAGCAAGACGAAGAAAGGGAACAACAGATATGACATGAAAATTGTTGACTCATGCACATCTTGTCCTACACTTTCTTCTTGGTTGTTCTCCCTTTCGAAAGGGCGCAAAGTCGAACTTCATAAAATGAGCTGAGTGACCTCTGTCCGTTGCATGCTACTAAAAATCACAGAATCGCGTTTCATGTATTGCAACAGAACACTTTATTGAAGCATATAGCACACAATCACATGACAAGGCTTTCGAATTCCTCAAGAGCTCGCAGCAGCCTCTTCATCCATGATGCTTGCCACCACCGTATCCTCCGTATCTGTGTCCGTAGCCGTGAGACTTTCCGCCATATCCACCATGGCCCATGTGATAGCCTCCCTTGTGACCACCTCCATATCCTCTGTGACCACCACCGTAGCCACCATGGTAGCCGCCAGCCAAGGCAACACCAATCGCCAAGGCGAAGACAAACAGGAAAATCTGCAATGAAGCATGAGTAGTATTTTCCACTTATCGTATGAGTGCGAATGGTTTCTAATATAGTTTGCGCCATACATTGCCGCATCAAGCGCAGTGTAATTCTGGGAGCTTTTGCGAAATGCTTGCTGTAGTGGGGACTTCATCGAGCAGTACATAGTGTTACAGCTGCATTGACAGTAGGTTTTAATAATGAATATGGGAGTCCGAAAAAATGACATAGCGATTAATAATCATAATAACCACAACTCTTACTTTCTGAGGCCAGCAGTACTCAATAATAATCAGCGGGAATGAACAGAAAAAGTGTGAGAAATGGAATTTCAGAATGTATGTAAAGGATCAAACGAACTAGTGGATAATTATCAGCATGTTCAACACTACGTACGTTAACAAAACGACAGCTAATAATTCATTTCATTCTAACTTTGCTTTACTGCATTTCATTGTCTTCATAAAAGTATCTCGCATGTAAAAACTTCGCAGTGTAGGGGCAGAACTGCATTTTCCTGAACCTACAACAGGGTTTCAGCATGTGTAACTAACATCTATCAATATAATATCCGCTTTTGACTCAATTAAGAAAAACCACAACCCAAAAGTAATATTGAAAGAAGCGTTTCTTACCGTGACCTTCATGGTAGCTAAAGACTTTCGATGGAAAGATTCACTCCAGCGATGTTCGCAGACGGCAGCTTCAGAGCTTAAATACAGTTTTCTTTCTCAGCACCGAACACGTCCAGAACATAATTCGTGCACACGCGCACATCTCCCGTTGTGTTGCGTGCAAATTCCAGATGGCATATTTTGCTAGCTACAGGATGTATCAGACCTTTATATTTTGCCTGTTCGCGATGCCTCCAGTTCGTGATGCTCACAAGATGACTTTATAAATGTTACTTCGTATTATGCAGATTATTTTTTAACGCTCAGAATGACAACAAAGTTTAAGATACACCGACACGTCTGCTGTAACAGAAAAATGCGTGAAGTTCGGTAGTTTAATGTATATTCGTCGTCAAAGCCGTGACTTTGCACTTCATTCAAAACCTCAGAGAGTGCATTCGCTATGCCTCTATTATAGGATGCAAGAAGGCATTCCATTCTGTTAGCTGTAATATTTTACGAGAGTAAAAGAAACCCATGATGTCAAACGACTCTTGATTAGCAGTGCTGGGAATAAAGTTGGATACGTGCATAGAATGAGGACATGAAATTCTCAGTGGGGGCAATGCCTTAACAGGGCCTTTTTTATGGATGTGGGAGCACACTTTAGTAAACGGAAAGGAGTGGTGCTCAGTGGTGCTTGGTCGCCATGGTGGTGGTCATATATAGTAGTGCTAGTGACACTAGTATCAGTGGTAGTAGTAGTAGTAGTAGCCGCAGTAGCAGTAGTAGTATATGGTAGTAGCATTTTGTATGATAAAATATTTCTATATACAATTAAGTATGACAGTAGAAGATTCCTCTACCTGTTGGCCATTGCCTGAGCACCTGGGTAGTTGCGCAATCAACAATATACAACTAGCGTCATAATTTTTAATTGCCATTTTGTCTCACGTAAAAATGTAATCAAGCTCGTAAGCAAGCTTAACACGTACCCTTCGCAGCGTGTCCTTATATAGTTTGATTGGTACTAACGCAACGTATACGTTTGGTTCTCTAGATGTTACCCATGCATGCCATCATACCATCCAAACATACTAATTATTATCTTGGCAACAGCATCCAGAGCTTTGCCGCTCGCATCACCCAAACTAGTACAGGTCCCGCGTTGGAGCTTGCGGACGACTGTACATATAGATTGCTGCTGGCTTCAAGATTTTTCAACTTCTATGTTGTTCCCGAATCATGGTAAAAAGTGAAATAATACACTTCCACATAAGCCTTTTCTAGCTCCGTTTTTTTTTCCTTCTTTCCTTTGACGCTGTCAACATTCCCTGCGTTTGGATAGCAAGTTGCGCGAGTTGAAAAATGGTCATGACGGCCAGCGCAAACAAAACACGTACGGAGAATAAAATGAGGACAAAAGCGCTGTCTAACAACCAAATGTCTAATAAAAAAGTCACAAATGTATAACTTTATCAAACTCATGGGTGTGCTCAGATGTTGAAGATGTGGTGATTGCACTGCATGGTGTGTACACTACGCATGTCACTCCGGTTCCGGTCCATGTAAAAAGTAGAGTCACGCAATTAATAATGTCCATTGAGAGTATCACTTTGTCCTGCCGTCATTGTTATGGTGTTGTTTTGCACTAACAAGTAATCACTATGAATTCACACCAATTAGACCACCAACGCACTGTGTATGTTATGTTTATTGCGTCCCTTGAAGTGCGAAGAATGATTCCTTTTTATTACGTTGACTAAGCTGCTTATTCGGTATGACTATGCATTGCGACAGCAGTGCTTGTACAAAGATTGAGAGCTGAGATATTTGTTTTCAATTGGCTTGAAACGCGACTTTCTAGGAATTTGCGCAGAATGGAGGGAGGGGAGCGCTCGCGTGCGCAAGTTATTACACGAACGTGTTTTCTCGCCAAGATGAAAGGGGTATTTAAGCTTCTCAGAATCTCTCTGCGGTACGAGAAACACGCTCGCACCAGCGGACTATCAACCATGGCTTCCATGAAAGTTACAGTAAGGAACAATTGTTATTTTCTCTCTCATTTTAGTAATTTATTTCTTTTTTTATTTTGTGGTAGAACCCAATAAGGCTTTGATTTTCGTCAACAACTTGTGAAAGTAAATAAGGCCTCGCGTTCAACCAATGCTAGAAAAAATGCAATATGGTAGCCAAACGCAGAAAAAAAAGTTTTTGGCGCATTCGCAAACACAAGTCGCTAATAGTAGAAAAACCACCTACAAAGCAAGCCACCGAAGTCTGTAAGCTGAGACATGAAACTGCCAGGGGTTGCAGACATGCAGAATTTATATATTTATATTTTTACTGTGCCTATTACTTCAGTGTTCTTAACAAAGCGGTTATACGGGTATTTAGGGACTAACCGACATCCCGGTTATAGACCTAAGATGTGGGCTCAAAAAATACTCGTGTTTTATCCAATTCCTGGAGGCGTTATTCTAACAAAATTATAATCACAATATGGGCACTGACGCAAATATCACTTAAGAGTATGTCACTTGTCCTTTGTTTGGATCTAAATAGGTTCGATAGTTCGATAAATTGACGCACATGTAAATTGCATGAAAACGTTGTACATGAAAAACGTGTGCATGAAAACGTTGTATGCGCTCTTACGTTCTTGTGACACATGCTGTCAGCCTTTTGATATGGCGCCCTACATTGCATTGGAATCCTATATGGTGATACCATGTCGTTATGGGCCCCACTTAGCTGAGGATCAGCTATGGCCGTGAATGTGCACAATCGGATTATGACAGTACTGCCCATGTGAATTTTACTGAAGGACCGTGCGAGATGTCGCTTCAGCAAAAAATACATCAGAATCCCTCCAGGATTTCCTGTATAAATGTGTTTTGTATAAAGGTAATGAGTACTAGAATCGACTTGAACTTCTAGCAAAATTACATCCAATTTGTCGTTTAAGCTTCCTTTCATAATATAAAGAACATTAAATGTCACGCTCACGTAGACGGTGACAGAACTATATAAAGCGTTTCCGAAATATGTAATTTCTCTTTACGAACCCTTCGCGATATGCCTGATAACAGGACTTAGCACTTGCAGTAGATCATCGCCTATAGCCCTCGTCAGTGAGCATTACGTCAATTGATCATTTGTGCATGAATAACAAACAATCTAGTCTCTTCTATTTTTTTTCTACGATTTCCATGTGCCGTGTAGTAGCGCTAATAACTAGGTCAAACAGTACTGAATTCTTGGAATATGAGGCCTGCGCGAAATCTGACCGATATTCACAACTTCTGGCGTAACACTACCTGGTCGCTGTGCGGTACGAAAATGCTGATCGTTTTTCTAATCTCCACACGCTTTATCGAAATTTTTGTGAATGAAGTTGTAGTGCATATCCGTGTTTGTTTAAGCATAATGCAGTTATGCGATCACTGCATACACGCCAAATGTCGTCCAACTCAGCTGCTGAAGTCTGCTTGACATCTAGCCAGGCTGACAACACCACTTTTATGTCGACCACTTTGCCTCTTTTTTTATCGGATTGACGGGCATTTCCTGAAACTTAAATATTGCTGAATGAAAGCCAACGGAAAGATAACAGGGAATGCTATTTTCAAGTCGTTGAGAAGCTGGTCTGCCTGTTAGGTTAGCTAATAACGGCAAAACAAAAATGTGCAATAATGGCACAACTGTGCTGACATAATTTTGATGTCATAGAGTTGAAAAGCTCGTTTCACAGAAATCCCGATGCCGCGGTGTTGGCGTCAGCGTTCGTGTTGGCACTGTGTCAGCATCGTTGCTTCGGAGTGAAAAGTAATTTTGCCCGTGACCACAAAATTGAGAAAAATGCGAATGCAAAATTACCATTCAAGTAATAATTTTACGTTCGATTGAGCACCAAGTCAAGGTCGTCGGTTTCACAATCAGGTGTTGAACCACAGATCCACACCATTGCTTTGAACTGCTTCGGCCCGTAATACTATATTAATGTCATGTAGTGGTTCTTCTCGGAGGAACAGTGGATATAGGTGCTCGGCTGCTGATCCGAAGGTAGCAGGTTCTATCTTAGCCGTGGCGGTTGCATTTATGAATTGCGCTGAGTCCGCGCGTTTTAAAGGCAAGTCCAATTCAAGGCACTCAGGCATATATACCTGCTATCAGCTGGAAGCGCATCAACAAAGGGAGCAGCGGCGTAGGTTCGCATGTTGCCTTACGGGTGCATTGTGGGCCTTTCACCGATTCTAAATAAGAATTATGGCTTAGTGAGCACCGAACAACTGTACTTGCAGTAGGCATTCTAGAGTAGATTTAAACGGTCAGCGTTTCGTGTGCAGTCGTTCGCTTCCTTACGGCATGGTTGCGGCATGTACCGAGAACTGAAGTCGGGCTGGCAATCGAAGAGGCGATGCGCATGTGGTCTGATTACGCTATGGCGTTCTACTCTGGAAGGCGAAGCTCAAACGTCCTCCAAGCTTTTCAATGCTTCCTAATCGGGGGGCTCTAGTGGTTAAGGTGCGCTGGCCTCAAGGTCGCGGGATAAAATCGTGGCCGTGGCACCCGCATTTTTATGGAGGTAAAATGCTGGAGACCCCTTCGCTTAGATTTGGGTGTACATTAAACACCATCAAGTGATCTAAATTTCCATAGCCCTTGATTGCGACATTCCTCGTAGTCAAATCATGGTTTTCGGGCGTAAAACTCAATTTAATATTCAGTTTCAAAGCCCTTCACGCTTGCGTTTCACTGTGTTATGCGTGTGCCTTGAGGGGGCCTCTGTAGTGCTTATCATGTGAAAGTACGCACCTAACGATGGCAGCACATCATCAGAATTTCCGGGCGTCCAAACGGACAAAATTCACCAAAACACTGGGCAATTCAAGCCGCCTCAACGGTGTCGCTGTGAGTCCACCATACAGCAAAGAATGTTGGGGTTTCATTAGGAACGAGGGATGAAGCTTTAGACAAAAATCCGAAGAATCTGATTGATTGTTCGCTTCAGTTTCTCTTCCGATGCTGAGTTCCTTGAAATCCTCACAGGTCGCCTTCTTTTTGATCGCCTTGGTTGTCGGCCTTGCCTCGGCTGGTGGTCACTACGGCGGCTACGGTGGCGGCCACAAGCATTACGGCGGTGGCATGGGACACAGTGGATATCACCGCAAGAGTCACGGCGGATACCACCATGGTTACAGTCACGGACATGGCGGTTACGGAGGCGGGAAACACTATGGTGGAATGGGACATGGGGGCAAACACTATGGATGAAATTGTTACGGACACCACAGATGAATGAGGCGAATCCTCCGCCTGTGTCTGTATCTACTGACCTATTTGAATAAAACTCTGTGTGTGGAATATGCTTCATGATGTACTGTCGGATATCGCATTCCAGCTGAAAACTCCAAGCGGATCCAGGTTAGACGTTTTCACTTTATGACAACAAAAAAAGAAACATTTCCGGGTGTTTTATGTTTGTTGCTTTCTTATATACCAATAAGCAAGTACAGTTAAATATGTTTTATTTACACGAGAGCCCGCACACATGGCGGATTATTCGAAAATCTAGAAAAAGCTTCATATGGCTAATACCGCATGTCGGAGGTGCCACACACCTCTCTGGTCACATGACTATAGAAATGAAGACAACAGAGTCAAGCCACGCTGAAGCTAATCTTTGGTGTCAGCCAAGTACTTGACGTACCACGAATCAGTTTTATTAAACGTTTGAGCGAACTTTAGCTGTTTAGGATTACCACGAACACTTTGAGATTTGTGGGATTCATTCATGTTGTTGACCGACATACAGCATCACCGCAATTATAATAATTGCTGAGCCACAATTCCAGTAAATAATTATGCGCCGAGTAAGTGAGCCACTTGTTTTATTGCTCTTGTTTCTGCATGAAAAGACTCAAGGCCTGTTCAACTTGATTCTCATGAGATGGTTCAACAGGAAGCATTGAGAAAATTACAGGCAGTGAAGACTCCTTAAAAAACTACAACAAGAACATATCTCCAAGTCCTACGTGAACGGGCTACGCAAGGCGATGCAGCCTCCCTAACAGTTTTCGCAGCTTGATTCAGCATTGGCTTCTGATAATAACAAAAGCCAGCCAAAGTGTGTTCCATGGGTCACATTTTTCATCGTTTTGTATTTTATATTTGCCGCTCACTATCTCGCCAATATTAGCCTACTATAGCGATTTACACTATTAGAATAAAATAAAATAAGAGACGCATAAAAACTGTACGACCAAGAAATAATGCAACGCAGCGTCTAGATGTGGTGCTGTTACGAATACTTTTAGGTCGCTTTTGTTCTCGCTTCACTAAAAATGTGCGCGTGCTCTTATAGCGTTAGCAGTATTAGTACACGGTTTATATATACAACACGTTGCCCGCAAAATTTTGTTGCCTTGTTCTAGTCGTTGTGAATGTCACGGGCAGTATAGGCTAGAGCATCAGCGTCTGCCTTTGGCTTACAACCTCTTCGCACAGCAGCCTGGACGTCGTGCGTAGGCTTAAATAGAGGAATCTTAGTGCTATAACTCTGTATACAATGCATTTAAGACTATAAATGTGCCAAACTACTAAAATGCTGTGTTTCACAGTTGAGAATGTAGTAAATGAAGGCACATAAAAGAGCGCCGTAGCTGCATATGCCACTCATAAATAGTCGGAGAGTTAAAACCTCACCGAAGTTGGAGTCGATAACCACGAGTTTGAATTGCGGGGAAACAGTACACTACCAAAATGCGAGTTCACCCATGACGCCGTGCGTATCCGTGTCTTTTTTACCTATAGTCACTTTGTGCAGTTTAAAAGAACACTGAACAAAATGTTTGCCTCCAAGATTTGTTTATTCTTCACTTCAGTTGTTCATTTCACGTTTTTCGTTGTTCATTTCAGGCAAAAAGTAGCGTAAAGTAATGATTTTGATGTTGCTTTTTCCAAACTGCCGCACCTGGCTGGCTCGACATCAACTGATAGAGATCTTTGAAGTCCCAGAAAAACGTGCGTGCCAACCTTGCCAGCCATTGCTCGAGTCTTTCAACCCGTCTTGCCCCGATTTTGAAGCAGTACTGCCACAGCAGCGAAATCAGTCCACTCACCTCCGCCACAAAAGCGCGTATAAGGAGCACGTAGTATCCGCCTCAGCGCCTTTGTGGAAGGCTTGTAAATGATGTATAGCAGAGGTGCGAAAGTGAAGTAGCAGGGCAGGAAAGCTGGCACCTTGCTTTCACGTCAAGTCACGACCGTTGATTCGCTGCTCCTAGGATGCTCACAATCACCTCAAAATACAACCAACTGTTCAGCGCCTTTGTCCTTTTTTTTTCTACTTAATTTCAAGGTCCCTTTAAGCCCACTAAATGGTTCAATTGTTAACCATTTTTATTCACAACATGTGATTATGTATGTTGGGACGACAAAGTTTGTCCGACAATGTAGAGAATAAAAAAATTGTACTTGTACTGTTACATAGCGTAACACATAAGGTCTATAATCCACCACTTGATAGGCATAGCGCAATAAATGCATTGGCAGAAAATGTTCGCTAGATGAATTTTTTTCCCACCCTACTATAGTTCTTCAGACCGTTGCGTTACCGCTGTAACAAATAGTAAAAACAAATTATGAAAAAAAACAACGAAACAGAATATTAGAAAAGACCAATCGAAACTATGCTACGAGTTCTTCGAGTATAGAAATGGAGTTTTCACTATGTCATGATTTGCATTCACTACCACCACGTAGTTGTATTGGGCACAAGTGAACCGAGAACAAATATTAACGTGTACACAAAAGCGTGTTGTAGAGATCAATGCGCAGTTCTTTCCCGCAACATACAGTTAATAAAAAATAGGAGGACGTGCCGTTGCATACCAATAGCGCTTCAGCCTGCTTTATTTTACATTAGAAGAAAACAAAACACTGCAGGAAGTCAAAAGTGCCAGACTACTGCGGCACCACTAAATCTTATTATGCCTCTCACATTTGTGAACAAGCGAAGGCTATCTTGCACTGGCATAAATGTCGTCAGAGGTTTTTACCTCTCACGACACGCTCCCAGTAGATTCGAACTTGTTTGAGGCCAATGCAAGTTTGAAATTAAATTAACAACAGCGCATGAGCCAAACGTCCTGGAGGCCGAAATGTTGAAGCAGCTTTTTAGCCATTGCAATTGGCTGTCGATGAGATGGAAACCTAACATAGCCTAAAGAATTGAAAAAATAATGGACGTTTCAGCCTTTAGCTCGTGGTTTCTTTGTAAGCGAGTTGTCTACCTTTTTATAGTCAAAACCTAGGTTTTTGTTGCGAACCTTTGCACACATTTACCAGTCTTTTGTCACTGATGAGGCTACGTGGGTTTTTGAATAGCAAAAGGTAACCTTGATTTAAAAGATTATTATGCCGTTGCTGTAAAGCTTCTATTTATTTGATATAATAAACAACATGAACATAGAAAATTGACAATCAGAAATTGAATACACGCATTTGCTTATTCTGGGCATAGAACACCCGTGATTTACATTTTTGGACAACTTCTTTGGACGAAGGCCTGCTTTTAGTGCTGTGGTGAGCAAGAAAGATAATCTGATGGACGGAACCCTCACCTGCGCAAAAAATATAAATATGACATCTCAAACGAGACAGGCAGCTTTCATTCTTCAAAGTTTTCTCTAAATTTGGTGCGCTCTGACTCAAGCTCAATCATCGCGCTGTTTGCTTCCGAGATGAAAATCACTTCCGCAGTATTTATTCGTGCTCCTTATTTGCCTAATCCTTCCATGTGCAGAGTTTTAAAGGTTTATTTTTATACTCTCCAATTATGCTCATCTATTTTTTTATTTGCTGGGTAGAACAGACGCAAGCAGGAAGCGAAAGGATGGAACAGAGCCCCAGCACTTGATGTGGTTATGCTGTATTCGGCTGTGTTACATTCATATAAATCCGCAATCAGTTCTCCTTTAGTTCATTACTTCGTTCATGCGTAGAGAAATTGTGGTTCTAAGAGAAGTAGACGTGATTGGATGACACAGGTGGGTTAGGAAAGAGCAGCATATTTGTTGCGCTGCTTGATCAGCTTCAGATGCGGGCGTATATATGCGTCTTCTGGTCGATCGGTTCATAGATGATAGAGAAAGAGCTCGACATGTGCTGATGGAAAGGTACAGAACATCTGGTTGTTGGCACTCCCGCACTTCTTTCTTTTATTCTTATGTCGTGGTTGTGGGACTATTTCTCGAACACAATAGCCAGCTTTTACCAAGTAAACGAGTTTACTATTGTTGAACAGGCTGCTAATTATTTACTGCGCTCTGCAACATAAATAAAAGGAAGCATTGGTTGAAAGGCCTATTTATAAAAAAAAAAGGATTGATGAGGTTTCGTTTCTGTTCCTGGTGTTTATAAAAGTGTTTTGGGGTCCGCATACGTAAAAATGATATAAAATATAACAAATGTGAAACCTGTATGAGATGCGCTTAGCCCATGGGCATTCAACAATGTTATGTCATAATATAGGGTTAGTATAAATTTAGAGCATATTCACCTCCAGTCAATTAGTGCTGTTATAATACAATAACTTGTGATTTTTACAAATGTCTGTATGTGTAGTCTCATGTCTCCTGACTGTCTCCAGTAAAAATACCTCAATATTTCGTGTAGACGAGGTATCACTGTATTCTATCATTACGGCTTTGACTGTGATAATAATACCTTATATATACGTGCCAAAACCATGGTCAAAAGGACTTCGTATAGGATTACGAAGTTTCGAATATTTGGTGTTCTTGAACGTGCACTTGCATCGCCCAGTATACGGTACTCTATCATTTATCCTCAACATTAACTGAAAGGCAAAGTGGTTACTTATATATTTTGGCTGGCATATGTAGACCTAGCAACTCATCTCAAGGTAACGGACACACGCGCCCAGCTGAAACTGCATGCATGCAACAATACCTGCTTCCACTTGGCTTTCATTCAGACTTCATCAAATTATCTAAGAGCAGTTCCGACCAACAACCGTTTATCTTTCAGCAGGTATCGTTGGTGAAACGCGAAGCCATGACTATCGCAATCCGCGAGGCTTGCTTGTTAACAGACGAAACGCGAGCTCCCTGGAGACTTCATCGGAAATGAGGTGCCAGACGAGGTCGAGAATTTCACAACACCGCGTAAAAAACCCAAGCCTGATAGGCCAGCTGCGAGTGCACCGAGCAAAGATTAGCAGCGGGTCAGTCGGGCTCAGCAGTCTTACGTTGCGGGGTCTTCCGACAGTGTCCATCTGCACAACTCTGCTGCACTGACCACTTTCCTCTGTCAGGGAAAAGATTGCAGCAGCATTGCGCTGGACGGGCGCAGAGCGCTCGACTTCAATTTGTGTGGGAGGCCACGCTGAGTTGGCGCTGCACTGAAATGAAGTTCGCGGTAAGTGAAGATCGTGATGTATTTCCATCTTTGAAAAAAAAATCTGTAAGAATTTATGCAACTCACTCACAACCCGAAAAAGAGGTTCTTTGAGACATTCTTGCGTAAATATATTACATAAGAATCCCACTTAAGACATTCAAGCCGGAAATTGTCAGTGTTCTTTTAGTTCGTTCACTTTCAGGGCCATTTGTCTAGTTCTTTTGTCGTTCCGTGCATAACACCGTTTCTTCGAAGGAAGAAGAAAAAGAGAGGAGGTAGGGTGGTTAACCAGGCAAATGCCCGATTCGCTACACTACGCTGGGAGAATGGGAAATAGGTGTATAAAGGTGAGAGAGAGAGAGAGGAAACAGAAGAGAAAGAGAGGAGAAAAGTGTCAGTACATGCACTGACGCGTATGCAGCGGGAGTAATGTGCAAAATTCGAAGGCGTTCACATAGGCCCGTAGTCCTCAGAAAGCGCAAGAGGACTTTGACTGCCTTGGGTGCTGAATTATGCAAGTACTAACTATCCCAGTCAAGTGCACTCCTGTAGCTCTTTCATGTTACTGTGAAACGCGAGAAGGTCCGAAATTACTCGAATGGTATGTGATTTTACAGTTGTAGCAGTTGCTTCCTTTCAACTCTTACAACCTACATTTTGAACCGTTTTGGTTTTAGGAGTACGCTGCAGAACGATGTCTGGCCCCAGCTCTACCTATCTCATTACGCTGAAATATTTAACTATTTACTTTTTGGCATATAGTGTTTCGATAATTCTATAGGCACTCTCCTTTCGAGTGATTCTGACCAATATTTGAATTCCCCATCAGATAGACGTGATATCACTTGCCCGAGAAGCATTACTATACGCTAATAGACTTCACATCCTATTCAAAATGATGTGATCATTAAAGAGACCCTAAAGTGAAATTACAGTTTACACCAGAGCGAAATCTCAATGTACGACAACATATAAAACGACAATATTATCGACAGCAGTTCCCAACTTACCCATAAATTGACGTAAATGCACAAGAACACATGCGCCGCAGTAGGACATTCTCAAAATGATGCCGTTGACATCAGATGGACCGCCTAGAATTAATCACTAGTAATCGATCTAGCTGCACTATATAAAGAACCTCCAGTACATCAAGAGACGCAATAAAATGCTGCCTGTTCGTTTCTGCTTGATTCATAGAAAAAATAACCGCCTGACGTTACTATGAGGAATGGCGAGAGTGCTTCGAAAATTCTATTACACTGGACAGGGGGTGCCATCTAGTGGGGAGCAGTTGAATGAAAAAACATCTGCAGTCTCGGAGCTGATGGTGGAAAATTGATCAATGGCCATTGTGGCTGCTGTGGCTTCCATTGTTTTCGGTCTGCCGCTACTAGCGCAGTAAAGCCGGGCAATGTTGTGCACGGTAACAGTGACGTGAGTCGGTCCGGTCAGTCCGCTTGTTGAGGCGGGTAATTTTAAGTGCGCTAACCTGATGCGGACCACTAAAACGTAATTTTATTTCAGAATAGGCCCTTCCTTGGCACAAAACTATCACTACGAGATTTCTGGACCACTATTTCAACAATCAACGTAGACTTAATAGTTGCCTTTAGTGTCCCTTTAACGGTTATTTGCGAAGGTGAAGTGCCCACATGTTCAAATAATTTCTCACAGAGGGCTCAAACGAGGTGCTTAAGATTTCTTTGCATGTCGAGACACTTTTACTCTCACCAGTGACCAGAAACTATGTTTAGCCGCTATGTCATGCATGCTATGAATTACTAGATGCCGACCTGTTCAAGACATGGGGATTCGCAGAAGTTTTGAACGCCTTACGAAGTTTTCTGGTTACGTAAGTTCCCAATGTTTTTGGGTGTGATACAACTATCATCCATGTTATCAAACTTCTTCACTACAACAATTAGTAGTTGGTACCACTTGTTAACCCTGTTTTACGGAGCCAGTGTTTCTTATTTTTTTCAGCTTTCATATCTCAGTCTGCCTTGCCGTTACGCGGCAATATTTTAGACACGGACCACAAATTTCAGTTGGAAGAAAATTCGGCAGATTTCGCGTACCCTAGGTCATGAGGAGCATGCAGATAGAAGCTGACCGTAGTGCCATGTTATTGCTCAGCGAAACTTTACGAAATGACGCTACGCATACACGCAAATGTTATAACAGCACACATGTTGAGCAGTAGCATATGTTTGCAGTTGCGTAAAGATCTCAAGAGCAACAAGGGTATTACTAACACCAGAAGCAGTAAGCTGAAATGAAGCGCTGCGCTAGCGAAGATGCCAGCCCTAGATGAGACTACGTAGACCATCTTAAGTGGATGGCGTGAGTTGCACTTAACTGCAACTCACGCTAACCCGACGTGACGCCTGTATCAATGGATCACATATGTAATCTACATAAAATTGATGGGCACAACTGCAAATGAAATTGGCATTACACCGACATTACGCCTGCACAGGGTCCTTACCAAAGGAGTTCAAGACGTGGCTTGGCTCAGTGGTAGAATACTTGATTGCTGCGCAAGATGTTTGGGTTCTATTCCTGATGGGACCATAACATATTCTTTTCATTTGTATGGGTGAAAGCTGGCGATTTAGTTCTTTCATAATACCCTTGCACTTGAATTACCAAGATGTTTGGGTTCTATTCCTGATGGGACCATAACATATTCTTTTCATTTGTATGGGTGAAAGCTGGCGATTTAGTTCTTTCATAATACCCTCGCACTTGAATTACCAATGTCTGTTCTCGCCGTTCCTCGGTAGGCACGAACTGTTAAACTCCTGTGGCTCATACCCGCATATCGTGGCCCGTGATGCACAGGTATGTGCCTCACTTGTTTTGAAAGAAGTGTTCAATGTTACACAACGGGATTTTCACATTACTTATACCATTACCAGGCAGTCACAATCGTCAAACCTCTTATCCTTGTATACTAGTTATGGGATAGATAGATAGATAGATAGATAGATAGATAGATAGATAGATAGATAGATAGATAGATAGATAGATAGATAGATAGATAGATAGATAGATAGATAGATAGATAGATAGATAGATAGATAGATAGATAGATAGATAGATAGATAGATAGATAGATAGATAGATAGATAGATAGATAGATAGATAGATAGATAGATAGATAGATAGATAGATAGATAGATAGATAGATAGATAGATAGATAGATACGCTCAAAGTGCGTGCAGTACGCAAAGAAGTTCTTCGCATTTAAAACGAATCACTTCTGACACGCAATCATAAAACAGCATGGACAAGATTGTAAAGACATGGATAAGATACCTTCTGTAGGATCCTAAGTTAAAACAACAAATTATGGTTTGGTACTTTTTGCTTCACATGAGCTATGCAAGATTTTTCTACGTATCGCATGGCATACATATGATTTCATTGGATCGTGGTGATTGATCACCAATGGCGCCATTTAGTGTTACCACGTCGTTGTTACTCACGAATGATATAAAGGAAGATTACTTTTAAATAAGTTCTAAAATACTTCACAAATGTTGAAGGTACGTAATTGTGTCATATAACGCATACTGTGGTTATGTTAAGAAGATAAAGGTAATATATGATAATGAATAGTTGTACCAGCACTGTATAGACGGCGCAAAAATTTTGAATAAACTGTGGAATATCAATTGTTGCATAAAGTTAACCTCTTTCTTTTTCAGATTTTAACGTGTCTTGTTCTTTGTTGTGGAGGCACGTCAAGCCACAGCGTATACCAAAGGCAGTTCCGGTGGTGGCCATCGGGAGACAGCGCAGATCAACTTCCACCTGGAGTGCCAGGGCAAGACCATGTTACTGGTGACACTGCCGAAATAACTAGCAGAATCGCCTCAGGTGCAGCCAGTTACAGCGGTTCTTACGGAGGCAGCTACGGCGGTGGCTACAGTGGCAGCTACAGAGGTAGCTACGGAGGCAAAGGTTACGGGGGTGGTTATGGAGGTGGATATGGGGGTGGTTACGGAGGAGGTTATGGGGGTGGTTACGGAGGCGGCTACGGTGGCGGATACGGGGGCGGATACGGTGGCGGCTACGGTGGTGGATATGGAGGCGGCTTTGGTGGTGGTTATGGAGGCCAAAGCTGGGTAGCCAGAAGCGGAGAGAGTGGCAGTGATACCACAGGGAGCAGCGGACATGGTGGTGGAAGCGGGGGTGGAAGCGGGGGTGGAAGTGGGGGTGGAAGCGGGGGTGGAAGCGGAGGTGGAAGCTTCAATGAAACTGATCACACAAGGGGATACAGGAATGGCTTTGGTGGTGGTTACGGAGGCGGACATAGTCGCAGTTATGAAAGTCGCAGTAGGGTTGTGATTAGCGACGAACGAGGAGGTGATTTGCGCAGAGGCGGAAGCATAAGTCGGAACGAAGCGGGCACTGGCAGTGGCTATGGAGGTGGTTATGGAGGAAGCCATGGTGGCAGCTATGGTGGAAGAACAGCCAATCTCAGTGGCACAAGTAGCACTGACACTACAAGCGGCAATGGTTACGGTGCAAGTGAAAGTGGTGGAGGCAGCCGATATCGAGGTAGTTATGGAGGTGGTTACGGAGGCGGCTATGGAGGTGGTCAATGGGTCAGCACAGACGTGCGTGGCAGTGAAAGTGAAAGCAGTGCTGAAACGGCGGGGGCACACATTAGTAGTAGCAGAGGTACCATGAGAAACGAATCAGGTAGTGGCAGTGGGTATGGAGCAAGTTACCAAGACAACTACAGAAGCGAACAAAGAATCGGACATGGAGGTGGTTATGGAAGCGGCTACGGCGGTGGCCATGGAAGACATAGGTTCGCGAACACTGAGGAAACTGGCACGGGACATCGCAGAGTGAACGTAAATGAAACTTCAAGCGGTAGCGTGGGTGAAGGTGGCTACAGAAGTGGATATGGAGGTGGTTATGGAAGTGGTTACAGAGACAGATATAATAGAGGTGGTTACCGTGGAAGTTATGAAGGGCGAAGCCGAGTTGTGCATGCTGAAGAAAGTGTTACTGAGACCAGACGTGTCACCGAATACGGTGATACGAGCAGCAATGAAACAGGAACCAACACCAGATACGGAGGCAGCAACAGAGGTGGCTACGGTGGAGGCCACGGTGGAGGCTACGGTGGAGGCTACGGTGGCGGATACGGTGGTGGCTACGGAGGTGGCCATGGAGGTGGTTATGGCGGTGGTTACGAAACGCAGCGACGTATTTCAAGCAACCTCAGAAATGAAACCGACAGAGTGAATGTCAGCGAATCTGGAGGAAACCATGGAGGCAGTTATGGAGGTGGCTATGGAGGTGGCTATGGAGGTGGCTATGGAGGTGGCTATAGTGGAGGCCACGGAGGTCATAGCAGTGTTCGTGTCGGAGAAGAAAGCGCCACAAGTGTCAGAAGTGGCGGCAGATATCTGGGTGCAAGAGGCGGCAGTGAAACCACTAGTGATAATGCTCATCACCGTAGAACCGGCGAAGGCTCTGGAGGTGGATACAATGGAGGTCTTGGAGACACAAGAGCTGTTGTGAACGACACCGAAAGCGGCAGTGAATCCGCAAGAGGTACTGGACGCGGAGGTCGAAGAGGAGACATAACAGTGACCGATTTCGAAAGCGACGCCCAAGATTATCATGGCGGTAGTAGAAGGGATGGCGCCAGTGAACGAAGAAGCGGTACAAGTGGGCATGGGAGTAGAATCAGCGATATAAATGGTGGTGGTAGCAGTATTAGTAGTGGTGGTGGAAGCGGAGGAGGTAGTGGTGGTGGTGGTAGCGGGTTCAATACAAGAAGTGGCAGCACTGGAGACCGAAGCACGAGTGAAGGCAGCAATGCCGGTGACAACAGCCGTGGTTTTGGCCGTGGTCTCGCTGGCAGCCGTGGCATATACGCCGGTGGGTATATTGTCGAGTATGGAGAACGAACAAGCTCACGTGTTGAAACTTCCCGGGGATCTGATGTTCCATGCGTCCGAGTGCGCAACTGTGCCAGCATAATCACAGCATCAACGGGCATGCGTCCTGGGGCGGTGCATGCGCCCGAAGAACAGTCAGCATCAAGAGGGCACGTGCAAGAAATCGTCAACGATTCTCAAGTACGCCTTCGTGATCTTGCTCAGCGACCAGCAGAAAGTGAGGAGCAAATAGGTGACGACTAAAAGCTCATCTTCCACTTAACGCTACATTCATGAACTTTGTTGAATTTGATTCCGACAAACTAATTTCAAACATTGAGCTGATTCGTTAAGCACTAGGAATAAAGATTTATTATTCGCAGTTACTAATGTGCGATTCATTTTGTTACATGCATCAAAGTGCCTCTTTATTCGTTCCCCAGATTTTATATGGACCTTTCAGCGAAGTTAGGCTTCCGACAGTCAGGGGTATATCACAAGAAAGCAGAAAGCGAAGTTCGTCTACTTTAAAACCAAATAGCATTCCAGATGATAGGTATATTTCGAATTTACTTGTATAGTGAACGCATTTTCATATCACATGAATAACATCTATTGTTACAATGAAACGTCTGCATTAGTGGTATCGAGTTCAATTTAAATACAAATAAAATGCAATAGTCTGTTCTGTCATGGAGATTATTTAACAATCAGTGGCTTCGTTACAGTGAAGTATCATATTTTATTCAATGGTTGGAATTTCGTTTCTTGCGCTCAGATTCTATGCAAATGTTTCAGCTGTCAAAGCCTCGTTCACCAGAATACGGGTTGGAGTTTCGTCTCTATTGCGGCGTTTTGTTCAGAACCAATACGAAAATGCTTTTATGCTGGTCCAACTGATTCAACCACTTGATAGGGGAGTTGGGCAAGGGCACAACGCTGCCTTTATTCAATTTTCTTTTCTTCTGATCAAAATTAACGCACGAGGGAATGGCATATCTGGTGATGACTTTTTTTTCACTTTATGGCTAGCAGTAAATAAAAACTGCGAACAAGAGAAAGATGATGATGTACATACCCGTTCTCGTGACCGTGCAAACGTGTTGCAAATTACACACACTTCGTGTTATAAACTAACACGTTATAAACGTTATATTCATGTTGGAGATGACAGACTCTTAATTATGAGCACAAGGTGCTTTTGTGTAAGATACGGAAGGGTATGCCGTTGCCTACATGATGTGGGAGTGGGGTGTCGGTCTAGTAGTCTAGGTGAATTGTATGCTATATTATTTTTACTGAGTTGTCCGGGATCATTATCGAGTCAGTCTTCGTAAAATGCGTTGTACGTAGAATGGGGCATGGCTGTCAGATTTATGAGTAATCATGAGTTTCATTTGTCAATGCATTCTTCATATAATTTTTTTCCTTATTCCCTACTAGCTTTGGTCTCGGTCCAACACAATGATGTGTTTAGCCATGTAGGTTGCGAAGGTTGTCATAAGACAGCAGAAAAACGCGTTTATTTGTCTTCGACTAGAATTTCCAGTCTTCATATGAAACACGAGGAAACCAGTGATAGTTAAGGTGGTAATTAGTAATTCAACTAATCTGATCATCAGTAACTTAACTAATCTTATAATTTGTGAAATGGCTACAAGCACTTGGGGACGCCACCGTGGGGGATTTTTGTAAGTGCAGACTTTCGTAAGTCACCGGCTGGTTGTTTACGGGACGTGTGATGCGCGTTATAGGTGCAATATTTTTTATAAAACCCCATTGCATCATGACTGTCCTCACACACTGACTTCTACAAAGCGCTTTGACAAACTAAGCTTGAAGAGCGAAATGTATATTTGCATAACCTTAATGGTCCATCCTCTCGTTGCGTAATCCCAAGTACACAACATAAAGCTGTGGCTTTGTGAAAGAATGTTTATCCTGAATTTTCCACAATTCCTTTCAAAGAAGCGCAGCCTGGCACTATGCGGCACAACTCTGGAGTACACACAGGGCAATCCTTTTGTTACTGTGAAAAAAGCTGAGAGCTTAAGTTCCATCCCTTAAAGAGCTTTGAAGAAAGCCGGCGGCTAATCGGTGCGCCAACGTTTCCCCACAGGATATGAATGTACAGTAACAGCTCCAACTTTACAACAGCAATGATTAGTGCGTTGCTATCTGTGGCTATACATAAGAAAGGAGATGACAAGGACTTGAAGAATTACAGGCCGATCAGCTTGCTCTCTGTAGTATACAAGCTATTTACAAAGGTAATTGCTAACAGAGTAAAGAAAACATTAGAATTCAATCAACCAAAGGAACAAGCAGGATTTCGAACAGGCTACTCAACAATTGACCACATTCATACTATCAATCAGGTAATAGAGAAATGCTCAGAGTATAACCAACCACTATACATAGCCTTCATAGATTACGAGAAGGCGTTTGATTCAGTAGAAATATCAGCCGTCATGCAAACACTGCGGAATCAGGGCGTAGATGAAGTATATATAAACATTCTGGAAGAAATCTACAGGGGATCAACTGCTACCATAGTGCTTCATAGAGAAAGCAACAGAATACCAATCAAGAAGGGTGTAAGGCAGGGGGACACAATTTCCCCAATGCTGTTTACCGCGTGCTTACAGGAGGTTTTCAGAAGCCTCGAATGGGAACAGTTAGGGATAAGAGTCAATGGAGAATACCTTAGTAACCTGCGCTTCGCCGATGACATTGCATTGCTGAGTAACTCGGGGGACGAATTGCAACTCATGATTACGGAGTTAGACAAGGAGAGCAGAGAAGTGGGTCTTAAAATTAATCTGCAGAAAACGAAAGTAATGTACAACAACCTCGGCAAAGAGCAGCGCTTCGAGATAGGTAATAGTGCACTTGAAGTTGTAAAAGACTATGTCTACTTAGGGCAGGTAATAACCGCAGAGCCGAACCACGAGATTGAAGTAACTAGAAGAATAAGAATGGGGTGGAGCACATTCGGCAAGCACTCTCAAATTATGACAGGTAGATTGCCACTATCCCTCAAGAGGAAGGTATATAACAGCTGTATCTTGCCGGTACTTAGCTACGGAGCAGAAACCTGGAGACTTACAAAGAGGGTTCAGCTTAAATTGAGGACGACGCAGAGAGCAATGGAAAGAAAAATGGTAGGTGTAACCTTAAGAGACAAGAAGAGAGCAGAGTGGATTAGGGAACAAACGGGGGTTAAGGATATCATAGCTGAAATCAAGAAGAAGAAATGGACATGGGCAGGGCATGTAGCGCGTAGACAGGATAACCGCTGGTCATTAAGGGTAACTGACTGGATTCCCAGAGAAGGGAAGCGGGTTAGGGGGAGACAGAAGGTTAGGTGGGCAGATGAGATTAAGAAGTTTGCGGGTATAAATTGGAAGCAGCAAGCACAGGACCGGGTTAATTGGCGGAACATGGGAGAGGCCTTTGTCCTGCAGTGGACGTAGTCAGGCTGATGATGATGATGATGATCTGTGGCTGTTGTAACGGTGAATAAGCATTTCAATATTATGAGAAACATCCGACTCGCAGTATTATTATCTAAAGTTCTGATCGTGTACCATGGATCCTGAGCGAACTTTAAAAAACGTTGAACAAGAAAGACAGCTGTCGTTTCTAACAAATACTCAGGATAATTCGGTAATAGTCAGGATCTTCGGCTACTGAGGTTTGTATCGAGTAGCCGAAACTATAGTATTCGGGGCAGCCGAGTCAAGTATGCAGTCGCTACGAGGATGCTAAAAAAATGTGGATGTGTTCACGCAGACATGTCGTGTAGTTCTTATTTATTTATTCTTTCTGACATCCGCAGAGAACGTCCTGAGAAGAGACATCTTGAGCCCACCGATACAAAATGGCGGCACGGAAAACATTTATTTCAGACGCAGGAACATGACGTGGCGTTCAGGAGTAGGTTCTGCCCGGGTATAGCTATTAGCTGCCTTAACGGAGCGGCGAGAACCGTGGGGCTGGGTAGCTAGGGCTTTTTTCATTTCGTTTCTCGCGTGCCGTGCGGTGGAGTTCGTGACACACGATCCACGTCAGTACGGTGATCGCGAGAGGGGGGCCCAGCACAGCGCACAGAAGAGGACGAAGGTCACCAAGGAGGGCTGCTTTTTCAACGAGTTGCGGTGTTGCGGTGCGCTTGTATCTTCATCCGTTCGATTTTTTTTTTCTTGTTCGGAACTCCCAGAAACTCGGCTGTGGCGCTGCCCGGACGTGACGTAACCACAGGTGTTCTTGAAGGAAGGCGTGACTGGGTTTCCGGTGCCTCGGCGACGACGCCTGCCTGTGCTATCTCTCGTACTCATCAGAGGAAGACGACTGCGAACAGAGAAGCAACAAAGGAACGATTCATTAGGAAACATATCAAAACAAAGCAAGACACGTTGATGCATTTACCAGCGTAAAATGAGGGAGCGAAACAACGCTATTTGTTCTATGGCAGATACGAGTAAACTCAGTGTCACCTGGCTAGAAGTTGAGGAATCCAACGAACGACGAAAAGAACACTGGCAGGGCAGATACATTAAAGGGATCGGACTTGAAACAGTTAATCAGCTCAGACAGGTAAATTATTCTTTCGCAACTCTAGCGTCACAAGTTTCGCCATCAAAGGATAATTATCAAAGAAGATGATGGTGAAAATGTATTTTTGAATTTCTCCACGGGTATACTTCAGCGGTTGAACGTCACTACGGTGTCACGAATTTGAACCTCCTTTGGCGTATTTTGGCCATATGCATTCAATCAAATTGTTACTTAAAATTTCTGAGCTTCTCCTTTCTCGCTCTTTCTCTCTTACTCTATCTTTTAAACTCCAAAATCTTTTTCCACAGTGTTGAATACGCCATACCAACTTTTCTAGACTAGTTAACATCCCTGCCTTTCCTTTGTCTATCATGTTCCTTCCCAACCTTTTGAATTCTTATATGTTAAGACTTTCGGTCTATCAGAACACAGTGGAAATTAATTTTAGCAACAGTAAATTTTGTAGGCCCATGCAGATACCACACGTGGCATCGTGTAGATCTGTGACGAGAACATCAAGATAGCGCCGCCACCAGTATTTTTATTTATTTTTTGAGAGTTTTCCCGTTCATAAAGCGTGTTTTCGTGGTGAGAGCGACGCTCTGAGTGTTGTGAAATTTTAATTTACTAATCCGAAGAAAATCTTTTAATCTTTAGTGTCTCTTTGATGCAAAGTGAAGAGCCTAAAGCATCGAGCATGCTATCAAGCGCTGGGAAACATGAAAGTAAACCCTCGCAAAAGTGAAGAGCCTAAAGCATCGAGCATGCTATCAAGCGCTGGGAAACATGAAAGTAAACCCTCGCAAAACGCCATTAGCAATCGCAGTGTCTCCCAGACGGGATAAGCTCCAGAAGCCAATGGCTCGTTTGTGTTTCGGATGAGCTACAGCCGTCAACACCGTTAACTCGAACGCTCCACGCCGAAGTCAAACTGGAAAGGTAAGATGAGCTGTCGCACGCAATGGTTTATTGCCGAGATAACCATACAGCGAAGATTTTCAGGGGGGTGTATGAAAAACAAAAGTAGCCGCGAGCAAAACATCTGAAAATGAACATTTCAGGCAGGCTGAAGTAAAATATAAGTTTACTAGCATAATCGGCCCACGTTCCATTTGCCCTTAGCAGCAGCAGACATACTGTGTCGAACGCTTGGCGGCGCTGGCGTCAGTCGAAGGGAGTCGAGGCGACGCGGTAGATCGTTCGATTTAAGTGTTGTGGCGGCTCTACGTCCTGTAATACATTTACAATTGTCTTCATCGAGGCCAATGCTTGTCAACGTGCTACACAGCCAACTAATATCTCATTTTATTTAGTGAAAAACCAGGAGATAACAAATAACACGAGAGTACAGGAGACGTTGATTTCACTGCTTTAGGTGTATTGTGGCAATTGTGATACCGATGAATACAGCAAAGTAAACTGGAAGACAGATTGCCACCGGCAGTGCCTGAAGTTGCAATATAAGTTCTCAATGTTTTCTTTTTCATTGTGTTTCTGTTTGAGTGAGACACCCTTTGATTATATATATATATATATATATATATATATATATATATATATATATATATATATATATATATATATATATATATATATATATAGTGTCATTATTATTGTGTAAAAACACGGAAAAACGAGCCCTTAGGTATACACCTCTTTCCTTATATATATCCATAGGCTGCGCAAGTGCTGACTATGCATTGGGCTGACTATTCGACCCCTCCCTTCTTTTAGGTAAGGGCTAGTTTTCTTCGTTGGACACAATATTCACGAGAACTAACAGCCAATAATGCAGGAAAAGCATAGGGGATGTTATTAGAAGTACTTGCAATGTAAGTGTAAAGGGATGGCGCAAATGGTGCAAATGCAAATGTGTCATGTTGCCGCTGTTATTGTATGGGGGAGGTGGGACCAGTGAAGCTGCCTGTAAACTATTTTCCGCTAGACGTCTGGGCGACGCACTATTGGGCTATGAAGCGAATGTTCGTTTGTTTTCGTGTATCGCAACATGAAAAAATAAGGCCATGCAACATCGAATGTACTAACTCAACTGTCTCCATGCGTATGCCCCTATCCTAACAACGTTTGTTTAGATGTTAACAATACAAAACACTAGGGTAATAGACCATTAGGGTGACACTCAAACGCATCTCTAAAATAGTGAATACGCAGTTTTTGGGCCACCATTTTTGTTGTTGAATCACGTTTCTCACTACGTGGTAATTAAACTTAAAACTTATACAATAGCTTCTCTCTCCCTTCTTATTCCCCTCTGTGTAGCTCTCAGCGCACTGGTTGGGATGATGGGGGAGAGGAATCACTAAAATAATGAAGCAGAGCCCTGTAACTGCACTCGTATACACTTTACACAGTGAGCGAAACGTATTGAACATGTTCTGCGTTATTGATCGGACTCGGGCTAAAAGCACTCAGGTCGTTGCCTCTGGGGCGTATCACGGTGTCTGTAACACACTAGTAAAGCTTATAACATCAGCAAAAGGTTTACTTGACGCATTCGAAAATATTTGTGACATTAAATTCATGAGGATATAAACTGTCGAAAAAATATAAACGGGAAGCTGATAAGCGAAGCAACATATGACGGCGCGTGGCGTAGGCAATCCCAAAAATATCCGTGCCATACCTATCCCGCATGTTTATCAGATATTGCCTCTAAACACGCGCACGCAGCTAGTGATAATAATAAACAACCGAGAGCGGTCACCAGCGCCTATAGACTTCGTTATCGGCGGCCAAAGTCAACAGACGGCATGTACATTCGAGCTGCCGGCTCATCTCACCTTTCCTGCTGGGGCGACGCTCTGGCTCACTGCGCTTAGTATATTGCCACTTCTAGGCAAGCACCGCTAGTTCCAGAGCATGTGCGTACCCATTATCGCGTGCAGGCACGATCGACTGCGCGACCACGCCAGCGTGTGAGTGGACTTTGAGACGATGATGCCAGACGCCAGGGCAGTGACCCTCTGCCACAAGCCACCGGCTCGCACATTGCCGATCACGCCATCAGTAAAAGATGCAAGCTTCGGCGGCGCATTAGGCTACGCGTTGCCAGCGGCAATGCATGCGTAACGTGAGAGCGTTCGCTACGTTGGATATAGTCTCATATAAGGATACCTGTGTATACGGACTTCTACATACAGTGCTATTTTTGTCTGTTATTCAAACGTAGGCATCGTTACAGCAACCTTGTGGCCCTCCCGTAAAGATCCTTTCTGCCTTCATTCTCCAATACCTAATTTCTCGTTCACAAGTACAGTGTAGCTAATCGGCAAAGGTGTCTCACTGGACTCTCTGCATGTCCTTTGACTTTCTCTTTCTCTCAATTTCTGATTAATTTGATTGATATGTGGAGTTTAACGTCCCAAAACCACCTTATGATTACGAGAGACACCGTAGTGGAGGACTCCGGAAATTGCGACCACCTGGGGTGCTTTAACATGCGCCCAAATCTGAGCACACGGGCCTGCAACATTTCTGCCTCCATCGGAAATGCAGCCGCCGCAGCCGGGATTCGATACTACGACCTACGGGTCGGCCGCCGAGTCTATTAGCCACTAGACCAGCGCAGCGGGGCGTCTCTCACTTTCTATATCCACTATAATAAACCGAGTAAAAAGTGCAATAACGTCTTCACCTTAGTGGTTTAGATAATGCTGATAGTTTCGACGCAAATTGCAAAGGATACTGAATTCATCCTAGGCGTCTTCCCAGCGACTATATTGTTGAATATAAGCGAGGAACTTCGTGGTTTCTTACTCAACAAGATTTCATTTCCTACACACACTTTTTTTCTCAAACTAGCCTATGCTACGTCTCCGCCTTATTCAGATCACTGGATAACTCATTATCATTAACTCAGGTATATCATTGTCGGCCACTAGATTTGCACCAGAGAAGGCGTAAGTTCTCTAGCGTAGACGCAGTTACAGTTAAGGTACCACTCGTCAAGGTTCCTTGCAGGCGAATTGTTGATGATTCCCAGTCACGAGGGGGCCATATTTTGGTAATAATGCCCATGTACTTTAATTTAGATGCAAGTTAGAGTCCCACTAGGTCGAAATTGTTAATTCCACCTCTTATGGCTTGCCTAATAGTCATACTGGGTTCTTGCGCGTAAAACCTGAGAAGTGTATTTTATTTTACGCATTCTAATTGCTAAGCACAAAGCGGAAACCTTGGATCAGACGCCAACTGACCTCTTTTTGCACAGGGACATGAATCATACAGAGGGGGTCATCCCCCATATACTTTCATATGTACGTTATCGAGAGGTATCGCATTATGATGAGGACATAATTAATCAGATACAAAGCCTTTGCCCACCACAGGTACGCATCGAGCCCCAAGAGGCAAATGCAGAAGGGCTAACATCAAAAGCACACAGAAACCATGTGCCTCAGTATACCTACGCGCTATGCATCACCGTACAGCAGCAATAATGCCTGTGTCCGGTGGTCTCCGTATTGCTTTCCTGGTATCCTACCATTTATTCATGATCAGCAAGAGGGGGAGGAAGAGAGCGTTTATTAGAGGAATGCGGAGAGGACTACGCCTGGTCTACAAGGACAAAAAAATAGAGGAGAAAAATTTGGTGAAAGATGGTGATCGTGATGCACACATAATCCAAATGTTTCCCGCGCAAGACCATCGGGTGCAAGAAGCAGCAAAGAAGAACGTTGTTCGTGTTTCCTGAGCAGACATCAAAACCTTTTCCGCGCGTCACAGCTATTACGAAGGCCACGACGAGGTCCCTGCATTACCTTAATTCTCGCTACTCGATTGCACTGATGAGCGTACTGGCGACGTGTACATGAAAAAGCGGGTGCTGTCTTTTGAAGCAGCGCTCTGTTTGGGCATGTTTACGATTGGTCCTTATGGGCACACGGCCTTGAATAGCGGTGCATGCCATCGACGCTCGGAGGATCAAAGACACGTCGGTGGGACTGAATGCATCGGTCATGCTTGCGACTGGTCAAACGAGACCGAGTATGATACACGCGATTAGTCCCAAATGCTTTCCGCGCTAACCAGGCCATGCATGACGTTTCCTGCTTGGCCTGTTTTTGTTTTTTGGAACGACAGAAGAAATAAATATTGAACGTCATATCAGGTTAGGTGGTCACCAAGATATACGAAGGTAGGTGCCGGCGAAAAAAAAAAGCCACTATATATTTGATTCTGCGTGATTGCTGTAGAAATAATCATTTATCAAGTGCACTGCAGTTTATTGAGCCGTCATTTGCGGGGTAAGCTTAGTGTGGAGACCGCAATAAGCAGCAACGAATAATTTGTTAATTTTTTCTTATGTGCTATATCCTGTTGTCATTCTCGATATGTGCTGCACAGACACAGAGCCTGTTTTTCGTTTGTTTTTGTTGTTCTCCTGGGTGTCTGATAATCTTTACCTCAACCTGCACCTAGATGTTCATGCTAAATATGCAGTCACGTAAACACTTGTCATTTTTATACTCACATCAGAAAGGTCGAGTGAAACGCAGTTATGTTTTGTAAAATAGCCATGCATTTGTTTAAATATGTGCTGTACATACCGTCGAGCCGCCCGCGAACCGGACCGGAACGCTTCTTCCGAACCTGCGTGAAGGAGAGAGAGAATAAAATTAGAGCAAGGCAGAGAGGTCAACTAGCATCCAGTTTGGTACCCTGCACTAAGGGGAAGGGACGAAAGAGGAGAAAGAAAGCGAAGAGAAAAGAGAAGTCTAAAAAAAACCTGCCAGAGTAAAAAATTGAAAATAAAAAAATAATATGAAAGGCTAGAGTAAGAGTGTACGGGATTTCTAATGAAACATTTAGAGAAGCTCGATAGTTGATGTAGTTTACACGCTTTATTGCCGAAGTCAATAAAATGTTCATTGATATGTGTCTTCATTGCAATGTCCCATTCTCACTCTGTATGAAAATGAGATGTTCGATGCTGCTGTAAACACTGAAGGTGTGCCGACTCTAAAACCTGTGGGATCCCTGGGTTCCGTGATAGCCCGTGGTATCGATTCCCTTGAACATACGTATATCGTCTGCAAAATATCAGCAGCGAATAAGCCTTAAAAGGTATCTTGCATAAGTTTTGATGTTCACGTGCGCGATCTAGCGCTCCACGCCACACTACGCGGCAATGACATCCTTGAAAGTGGCTCGACTGTGAGCCCCGTACTTCCCAGACGTCACCAAGCTGCAGCTGGCACAACAAGGTAAGATCACGTCATAACCATCATAGAGTTTCCTAAAATTAACTAGAGGGGACTCTGGCCCTGTGATCATTCAGTGACCACGGGAATGATGGGTAGTACACACATTTGCCTAGTCTTCGTACTTGCGGGCGGCGAATCGCTCGTGCGGCTTCGTCTATTGCTAGTTACAGTTTTGTTTCGAAAGAAAGAACGAACCCTTTTGAACTTAGTCATCATCATCATCAGCACTCATCATCATCATCAGCAGCAGCAGCAGCCTGACTACGTCCACTGCAGGACAAAGCCTCTCCAATGTTCCGCCAGTTAACCCGGTCCTGGGCTTGCTGCTGCCAATTTATACCCCCAAACTTCTTAATCTCATCTGCCCACCTAACCTTCTGTCTCCCCCTAACCTGCTTGCCTTCTCTTGGAATCCAATTAGTTACCCTTAATGACCAGCGGTTATCCTGTCTACGCACTACATGCCCGGCCCATGTCCATTTCTTCTTCTTGATTTCAGCTATGATATCCTTGACCCCCGTTGGTTCCCTAATCCACTCTGCTCTGTTCTTGTCTCGTAACCTTAAACCTACCATTTTTCTTTCAATTTCTCGTTGCGTCACCCTCAATTTAAGCTGAATCCTCTTTGTGAATCTCCAGGCTTTTGCTCCGTAGCTAAGTACTGGCAAGACACAGCCGTTATATACCTTCTTCTTGAGGGATAGTGGCAATCTAACTGTCATAATTTGAGAGTGCTTGCCAAATGTGCTCCAGCCCATTCTTATTCTTCTAGTTACTTCAATCTCGTTGTATGGCTCTGCCGTTATTACCTGCCCTAAGTAGACAGTCTTTTACAACTTGAAGTGCACTATTACCTATCTCGAAGCGCTGCTCTTTTCCGAGGTTGTTGTACATTAGTTTCGTTTCCTGCAGATTAATTTTAAGACCCACCTTTCTGCTTTCCTTGTCTAACTCCGTAATCATGAGTTGCAATTCGTCCCCTGAGTTACTCAGCAATTCAATGTCATCGGCAAAGCGCAGGTTACTAAGGTACTCTCCATTAACTCTTATCCCTAACTCTTCCCATTTTAGGCTTCTGAAAACCTCTTGTAAGCACGCGGTAAATAACACTGGGGAGATTGTGTCCCCCTGCCTTACACCCTTGTTGATTGGTATTCTGTTGCTTTCTTTAGGAAGCACTAAGGTAGCAGTTGATCCCCTGTAGATTTCTTCCAGGATGTTTATATATACTTTATCGACACCCTGATTCCGCAGTGTCTGCATGACGGCTGATATTCCTACTGAATCAAACGCCTTCTCGTAATCTATGAAGGCTATGTATAGAGGTTGGTTATATTCTGAGCATTTCTCTATTACCAGATTGAAAGTATGAATGTGGTCGATTGTTGAGTAGCCTGTTCGAAATCCTGCTTGTTCATTTGGTTGATTGAATTCTAATGTTTTCTTTACTCTGTTGGCAATTACCTTTGTATATAGCTTGTATACTACAGAGAGAAAGGTGATCGGTCTGTAATTCTTCAAGTCCTTGTCATCTGCTTTCTTATGTATCAAGATAATGATGTTAGCGTTCTTCCACGACTCTGGTACTCTTCCCGTCAGGAGACACCTCGTAAACAGGGTGGCTAGTTGTTTTAACGCAATCGGTCCTCCATCTTTCAGCAGATCTGATGTTACCTGATCCTCAACAGCAGCTTTGCCTCTTCGCATGCTCTCCAAAGCTTTTCTGACTTCTAATATTACTGTTGGGGTGTCATCTGGGTTACTGCTAGATCTTATAGTATTAAAGTCGTGGTTGTCCCGGCTACTGTACAGATCTCTGTAAAACTCCTCCGCTATTTTAACTATCCTATCCATATTGGTAGTTATTTTGCCTTCTTTGTCCCTTAGTGCATACATCCGACTTTAGCCTATCCCAAGTTTCCTCTTCACTGCTTTGACGCTTCCTCCGTTTTTCAGGGCATGTTCAATTCTCTCCATGTTATACCTTCTTACATCAGATACCTTACGCCTATTAATAAACTTCGAAAGTTCTACCAGTTCTATTTTGTCTGTTGTACTTGAGACTTTCATGATTTGACGCTTCTTAATGAGATTCTTCGTTTCCTTGGAAAGCTTGCCAGTGTCCTGTCTAATTACCCTGCCTCCAACTTCCACTGCACACTCCGTAATGATACTCGTCAGATTATCATTCATTGTATCTACGCTAAGGTTGGTTTCCTCTCTAAGAGCCGAGTACCTGTTCTGAAGCGAGACTCTGAATTCCTATACTTTCCCTCTCAGTGCTAGCTCATTGATTGGTTTCTTGCGTATCAGTTTCTGTCGTTCCTTCCTCAAGTCTAGGCGAATTCGATACCGTACCATTCTATGGTCACTGCATCGTACCTTGCCAACCACTTCCACATCCTGCACGATGCCAGGGTGTGCACTCATTATAAAGTCTATTTCGTTCTTATTTTCGCTATTAGGGCTCCTTCATGTCCACTTGCCGTTTCCTCGTTTTCGGTAGAAGGTATTCAAAATCCGTAAATTATTGCGTTCTGCGAATTCTACTAGTAACTCTCCTCTGGCGCTTCTTGTACCGATGCCATAATCTCCTATTGCCTGGTCTCCAGCCTGCTTCCTATCTACCTTTGCTTTAAAGTCTCCCATCAGTATAGTATGCTGTGTTTTTACCTTACTCATTGCCGATTCCACGTCTTCATAGAAGCTTTCAACTGAAGCGTCATCATGGCTGGATGTGGGCGCGTAAGTCTGTACCACCTTTATCTTGTATCTTTTATTCAGTTTAATTACGATACCTACAACCATTTCATTAATGCTATAGCATTCATCTATGTTGCCAGCTATGTTTCTGTGAATTAGGAACCCCACTCCCAGTTCTCTTAAGCCAGCCAAGCCCATATAGCAAAGGAAGTCTATTCTGTAGCACCGTATAGGCCTCATCTGTCTTCCTAACCTCACTGAGCCCTATTATACCCCCTTCAACACCCTCTAGCTCCTCGAATAGTACAGCTAGACTTCCCTCACTAGATAAGGTTCTAGCGTTAAACGTTGCAAAGTTCAGGTTCTAATAGCGGCCTGTCCGGATCCAGAGATTCTTAGCACCCTCTGCTACGTTGCAGATCTGACCGCCGCCGTGGTCAATTGCTTCGCAGCGTCTGGGGACAGAGGGCCGTGAGTTATTTGACGTATGCAAGGGGGAGGTAGTGGCCAGATGCTGCACCAGGGTGGCCAATTCTTCGCTGGTGAGGGAGTGCGTTTTCAAGTGGTAGTTACCGGTGAGGCCGCACCCCAGGCCTCTTAATGCAGTTCCATCATCACGCAGATTTTATTTTTTTTATCCGGTTGGGAACTGCGCGGCACCGGGATTTGAACCTCACACCTTTTGCATGTGAGGCGGATGCTCTAACTACTACGTCATCGCTTAGTGACCTGATTCAAAATGGTAAGCCTAAAAGAATAAGGTTGTGAAGCACAAACGGTGAACATTTGCTAATTTATGTTTTCATAAAAAAACAGCTCCAAGCCACACGAATACACACGGAGCCAGAAGCATGCAGGCCAGAAGTACGAAAATTAGACAAATCTGTGTACTACCCATCATTCCCATGCTCTCTGAAGCGCCGTGCGTTGCAGCTTCTTTGGACACTAGCGCCAGAGTTCCATCTAGTGTTTATTAGGAAACTCTATGATAACCATCATGTCTTTGGCCGCGCTTGCGCCAGAATACTTATTTTCGGTCGTTGTTCACGAGTTCATGGCGCATGCATTAAAAGTTTTGCATTTGAAGACACTGCATGCTTTCCCGTTTTCTGTTCAAAAGAACTTCTGATGCAGACAGTGCGAAAGTGCGTCAGGGTTCAGTGTGCATACGTAGTCGATCGTTGCACATGCTTGGTGGTGACAGTATCACCCAGTGGCGTATCGAAGTGCTCTGAAAGTGAAACTGAGACGGGTCGGTATTTACGAGTGTGTTTATTTTTGTCACGCGCTGCAGCGAATGATTTGCTATGTTACCACGAATACCCCCCCCCCCCCCCAAAAAAAACACTGCAGCGACTAAATGAGAGGCCAAAATATTTGTGTTATAACCCTTTTACGTGTAATATTGCAACGGGTTACGTGTAATATTGCACAAAGAGAAAACGGCCTTTGTGACACCTGACGGCCTTTATGAATTTAATGTTATGCCGTTCGGTCTTTATAATGCACCGGCCACATTTGAACGATATATGGACACAATACTTCGAGGACTTGAATGGGAAATTTTTTTGTGCTACCCAGATGTGCTGGTGATTTTTGGCAGCACACTGAACGAGCACAACAGCGTCTCAGTCTTGTTTTGGATTGCGTACAAAAGGCCGGCTTGATCCTAAACTCTAAGAA